TTAGAGCTTAAGAACTCATCCTTGTCTTTCTACACAGTAGTGTGTGATGTGTCGATATGGTAGTGGATTGGTCATCATTTATTTTTGCATTTACCTATTGTGTTGACTTTGTGGAGCAAGTTTTTTCATTTGGAGTGTTTGAGCTAGGTGGTCCCTTGGTTGTCTTCTTCTATGTTTGTTGTGGATTTTTCGTGGATTTGGAAGGCACAATAAAGGAGTCACTATTTGGAATTGTGCTATTCATGCTATATTTTGGGTTACTCGGTTGGAAAAGAATGCTCAGATATTTGATGATTGATAAGAGGTTTGAAGGATTTACAAAATCAGATCTTTTTGACATCTTTTTGGGCCTCGATCACTAAGAATATTGACTTGTAGATATGCCCATCCCTAGCGAGTCCTATTATGTATTGTTCTCTTTATTTGAATTGAGTTTTAGACACCTTGACCACCCTCCCTTATCTCTTTGTACTACTTTTTCATCAATTAAATGATTGCTGCTTATCAAAAAATAATAAAAAAAGATCAAATCCTCAACTCAACTAAGTTGAGCCGTGTCGTAACTATTTTGGGATCAGCTATGTTATTCTTGTTCCACTATTGTGCTCTATCATTAGCCATATTTTTTGTTAAACCGTGAATTGCTACATTTTTTTACTATCTAATTCAAAAGTTAATTTTGATCTTCATCTATCCCACACATTGCCATTGATGGGTACCACATCATTCTTGCTTAGTAGTGCAATAATAGATCTTCTGTAAAAAAGTCCCTAAGTCGATTTAGTTATCTTAAATTGGTACTATTTCTAATGTTGTGCGACTATATTTATTTTAATGCTGTGATTTTGGTTTGACCTTCCATCCATCGTGTGATCCTTATTTATGCCCTACTTATTTTTGAGCAGTAGGTATCTTAACTATCCAACACTTTAGATCATAAATCAAAGTTGTCTAATAGCTATTTTGTAAAATTTACCTTTTAACTTAAAGGTACACATAGATCACATTCTACATAGTCCATCTTGCTTTAATTTTATAATTATTATCATCTTCATTCTCTTGCTCTGGAATTTCTTGTTTTACTAGAATTTCATTTTATATATTCAATTTTATTTAAGCTTATCTTGAACATGGTTACCACAATTCACTAACCCTTACTGACCCACGATTTGCGTACATCGATCTCAAACGAGGTGGGTTCGCGATCCAGATCACTAAAATGGACGACTTCAAATTGTAATACTAACCCTAAATCAATTCGCTTTGGAACATATAGCACAAATATAAAATACATATTAATTGACTATATGTATATAGATTTATAATTATATATTGTTTTAGATAATAGAAAATCAAATACAACTATAAGATAAATGGTAACTAATATAGTGTTTATGAATGTTCTGTAATGTATAAAGTTGTATAGTAGTGAAAACAATCAACATAAGAGTTTCAAAACGAATTACGACTCAGCATACCGTACTAGACTAAACCTACCCCCATCATATTGTGTACCTAAGAAAGTGTCGTACCATATATCCATACTTGTATTACGTACCAAAGCAATCTACGATCTAAGTAATATTGATCTTGAACCATTTTGATTCTAAACTTCTGTCAATTTCCGATCTTCTACTTATTCACTTTGACTTTCATCAATTAGTACAATTTTATTAGTAAACAATATGCACCATGAAACCACCGTTTAAAGTATTAGCTATGCTGATACAACTTGATACCTATCGTACCGAATTTAGGGGTGTCAATTTTACCTATTGACATGAACCAAAAAATGACATAACTTATTAACATGAATACTAAATAAATCAAGTTAGTGTTAGAAATTATTTACCCGTTTAGATGGTATTGAAGGAAGAAAATGGACAATTTTATTTTTTTAAATAATTTTGCGTGAATTGTTTTAGTATTAATTAGATTTTTACTAACATGAATATTTCCACAAATGCGATATTTAGCCGAAATGATCGACCCGAATGTGACACGAATTGAAATGACATGGCACAAAGATCACATGATAGGACAAGATTAACAAGCCTGTATTGTATACCGTTCCACGTTTCTTGTAAACCATGAGTCTTATGTGACCTTTAGTATTAATTAGATTTTTACTAACAAGAATATTTCCACGAATATGATATTTAGCTGAATGATCGACCCGAATGTGTCAGGACCTGAAATGACATGGCACAAAGATCACAGGATACGACAGGATTAACAAGCCCGTATCCTATACCGTTCCACGTTTCTTGTAAACCATGAGTCTTATGTGACTCAACTGAGTTGTCAGAAACGTCTTCAAGGGAACTATGAGTTGTTTGAGACTTATTTGAGTCATTCTTATTCAATTAGCCAAACTGTTTCGTGATGCCGTGTATGGTCTAAATCTCTCAGTCATGTTCAATTTCTTCTTCTATCTAGAATTTCATGTGTATCACCCCGCTATTGATTTGTAATTTTAGGACCGATATGTCTTAGCGGTCTCTGAGTTAATGGCCAATTTCGCGACATTTGAACCATTTATGGAACCTAATCTTAAATTTGTCTAGTTAATATATCCATAACCATGGAAGAAAGATAAGGATTCAAAGCTGAACTCCAATGTACGTTTACATTGATTGAGAATTCATGAGTCTCCCCTACAATAGTTCTCACTAAAGTCACTGAAGCCTCTTGTACATCTTTAATCACATCAATATAGCTTCTTGCAACTTTTGTTCACTCTAAAATGCACCATATTTGTATCCCTAGTGACTCTATCATAGGTTTTTTCTAAAGATTTTTCTTTATCTCTCCATATTCTCAATGAGTCTTCTAAATAATGGCATATGTGAATAAGTCTTGCTCTTGCAAGAATCAAGAAATTACTATTCCAATTCATTAATTCATCCTAGATAAAATTCCTAACCTAATCCCAGGGCTTATACCTTTAACTAAGGTGGTTATGAAACTCATTCCCGGTCTTCTCGGGATCCACATCATTTTGGAGGTAAAGCCTCATACAAGAGACAATGCACAGTGGAAGAACCTAGTGAGAAGGCTAACTGATGTTCTGTGAGATGAGTTCCTACATTTGTTTTTGGAAAAAGGCGAGTTTTCGGAGAAAATAAAGGGTGTTGAAATGGCTCCATTCAAAAAGAGATGGCACAACAAAGAAGCTGAAACTTCAGTTTACGATGAATTGAGACGGGATGAAGTTGGCTACCAAAAGGCTTCTCCTAGAGATCAAGGACATGACAATCACACACCCCAAGATGCTATGAGTGACGTGCACCAAGTACCGATAAAAGACAGTACATTTGGGCTCTTCGCTTAAAAGGGATGTTTTAACCGTGTTTGACCATAGTAGTAGATTTGAATTGGTGGTAATGCTTTTAACAGAAATATTTGGTCTCTACGCCTCCACTGGTAAATTTTCAGGGGGAATTCATTTTTGCGTAGAATCACTAACCTGAAGACTGAATCTGGATTGGTGTAACTCAGTTTTGCTACATCTTAATCCTCTACTATGATGTATGTTGTTCTCGTCAGAAATTAAAAGAATGAGGATTCATTTGATTCTAATTTTCTTTTCTGTTTAGATATTATTCACCTTTCAAAGAAATTATAAACAATTTTCAGAGTTGCATTGCATGAATTTTGTAGTTCAATTTTAAGTTCTTTGGATTTACAGCTTGGACAAGCTTTAAGCACAAGACCAGATATATTGCCACCTGTATACTGCCAAGAACTTGCTAAGCTACAGGTATACTAGATTACTTGATGAGTGATTTTGTTGAATGGCCAGAATACAACTCCCAGTTTTTTGACACATCCACATCAAATGGATTCTATATTATTGCTCTTTGTTTAATCAGTATTACAGTTGAAAACATTCTAATTTTGCCAGGACCAAATACCCCCATTTCCAACTCATGTTGCTATCAAATCTATTGAGTCCCAGTTGGGTGTTCCTGTTTCACAGCTTTTTGCTGACATCAGCAAAGAGCCCATTGCTGCAGCCTCTTTAGGACAGGTGTATAAAGGTTAGAGAATTTTGAATCTGAAATGGTTGTTTATACTCTTATTCTTTTCCAGCTTTTCTATGTGGGTGTCTAGGCCTGATCTATAGTGTTTGTGGACACTGAAATGAAGTACTGTACATTGTTGTTTCGGTATAAGGAAGTTATATGATTGATGAAATATTGAGCTAAATGCTGTTCTTTGTTGCTTCAAGTTTTGCAGCTCACCTGCATTCTGGAGAGCTAGTAGCTGTTAAAGTACAGAGGCCTGGTATGTCACTTTCATTGACCCTGGATGCGCTGTTATTTCATATGATTGGAGGCCAATTAAAACGATTTGCCAAAGCCCAGAAGGATCTGTTAGTAGCTGTGAATGAGATGGTGAGTCTACTAACGATAGCAATATATTTCATGGCAAATTGACTAATCTTTTATGTTTCCTTGGAGATCTCTGTTCCTGTAAATTCTACTGGAGAAACAACCAGCACGTGCTTAAAAGAATATAGTATTTTATTTGTGCAAATCACTGGGAAATTGCTTTTCCTTGGAAATTATGATACCGAAGTGATTCTTGTGAACTGACTTCCGGTGCATATTGTTGCATATAATTGGTTGATTCTTTAGGCTATGTGGCAACTTCCTGCAGAACAAGCAGATAAGTAAGAACAATAAGAAGTACATAAAAATATGTGCTTGGTCAAGTTTAAATGCTGGTGCTACTATGGAAGCACAACATTACAAATTGAACTAAAAAATAGAATCTTCAAACCTCTAAAACATGTCATATTTCAAGAAAAAACCACGAAAAATAAAGTTTTGTAGGAGTTACGACACATATGATGGTCTTTTTCTTGATAAGAAACAATAATACTATTAATATACAAAAAGAGTTACAAAAAACCAATCAAAGGTGGACGAGTCATGTATACCTATGATAGGTTAAAAGGAAACACATACGAACACTATAGATATTAAAACCATATTACATTTTGATGTTGGATAACATGAATAACAACATCACAATAGGTACCGGAGGGGCTACTGTTACCTAGACATTTTCTTGCGTCTCTTTCTCTTCCCCAAGTTTGCTTCTCCTTCTCTAAACCCTAAAACTTTACAATTTAACTTTGTATTAGAGCAAAGATCCAAATTTGAAGCCTAAAAGTTGTCAGAAACAGTTGGAAATTTCCTGATCTGATTAATGTTGTTGACGTCACCATGACGCCCGGTCAAAATTTTTTGAAATTTACATGGTATACTCGCCTTGAGATCTATGGTAATTTTCTTAGAATTTTTTGAAATCATATGGCTGGGTTTTTGATTTTTTGAAGAATTTTGGCTTTTTTTTCTCTCCAAATATCGCTCCAGATCTTAGTTTCTTCGAGTTGTATCTATTTATTCTGGGTTCGATCCACTAAGTGAGGTGCGATTAGGGTGGATCTACAACTCCTATGAAGATTTGTGGCATTTTGATAGAGTTTGAGATTTTTTTGGGCAAATTTGAGGCTCAGCTTTAGTAGATTTATCCTTGGTTTGAGGCCTTTTTTGGGTGCTGTGGTGCGGACATGTTGGAATCTAGTGTGAACTCTGGGGCCACTACTAGTGCTGGTGGAAACGAGTTTAGTCGTCTAGGGGCTGCCGCTATCAACCCCCCTCTTTAAATTAGCCAAGAGAATTGGATAGACACAACTATTAAGCATGGTCACGAGCTTGTTTATTGTCGATCCAGGCTATTTCTTTAGATGGATATTTGATAGGGGAGGGTAAGAATCCTAGTGAGTTTGGATCTCCCTTAAAACAGTGGACATCTAAGAATGCTCTGGTCATGTCTTGGTTGCTTAACTTAATGCAACCCCTCCATTAGCCATGGTTTTTTATTGCTTGATATAATCCACAAGATTTGGACTGCCGTATCTTATACATATTGTCAAAAGGGGAGTGATACCAAAGAATATGACCTTCGGAAGAAGGTGCTTGACTACTACCAGAATTTTCAGACAGGTTGTGCAAATGATGCAGCGAAATTTCAGCAGATGGTAGAAAAGGAACGAGTTTATAACTTTCTTTTTGCCTTAACATTGAGTATAACCGATTCGGGTTTAGATTTTTTGTTGGAGCCTCTTTCCTACCTTACAAGAGGCTTCTGTCTATGTTCAGCAGGAGGAGAGCATAAAAATGGCTATTGTTCATGCTCCAATTTAGAAACAGTCTGCTTTAGCTGTTATCCTTCAACATGACCTGAGATTATTCCAGCCTAAGTCTACTAACAAGATTGCTATCATGGACAGAGATACTTTAAAGTGTGACTATTATGGGAAGGTTAGACACACTAGAGAGTTTTGTTGGAAACTATCTGGAGACCCTACACGTAGGAATAGTGGTGGCCAAGGTGGTAATGTTCGATCATATGCACACATGACTGAGTCTTCAAATACTCTACCTCGGTCAGTACCTTCACTAATTTTTTCCAAGATCAGATGCAGAATCTTAGGCGCCTTATGGCTCAGCTTGATGTTTCTCCTGCTGCAGTTTCTAACTAGGTTTCTACTTTCAACTTTACTCATCCAGGTATATTTGCTAGTGCATTTAGTGCTTCATCCTCATATTCCTCTTGGATCATAGATTTTGGGGCCACTGACCATATGACAGGTTCTTCTGGCCTTTTCTCTTCATACTTAAGTTATGGTAGAGATAAAGTACGAGCTGTAGATGGATCTTTATTGTCTATTTTTTTGGAAAAGATTTAATTAATTGTTTTTCTACCATGCCTCTTTCATCTATTTTGCATGTCCCAAATTTTTCTGCTAACTTATTCCCTGTTAGTAGTATTACGAACTACTTGAATTGTTTAGTGATATTTTTTCTGACTCATTGTATGTTTTGGGAACTAGAGTCGGGCAAATCAATTGGTAGTGGTAGAACATATGGTGGTCTATATTTTTTGGATGTTGGAGCTCATTCTTCACTGTTTGGGATATCCTTCTTTTGGTGTCTTAGAAAAACTTTTTACTAGTCTAGTAAAGCAGCGTAGTAGACATTTTTTGTTTGTGATGCTTGTGAATTTGCAAACGTTCATCTTATCCTATTAATAATATTGGAAACACTCCTCCTTTTATGGTTATTTATTCTGATGTGTGGAGACCTTCCCGTGTGCTATCTATCTCAGGTTATCGTTGGTTTGTATCCTTTATTGATTGTTATTCTCTTATTATTTGGGTTTACTTACTTCGCACTAAGAGTGAAGCGTTCTCTTGTTTCTGATCTTTCCATAAAATGGTGAGTACTTAGGTTGATGCTAAAATAAAAATTCTTTGGAGTGATAATGTGACTGAATACAGCGACGCAAAATTTCGTTTATATTTCAATGAGAATGACATCTTTATCAAACCACTTGTGTGGGTACTCCTGCACAGAACGGTGTGGCTGAATGGAAAAATTATCATCTGCTTGAGGTTACTTGGTCATTAATGTTTACTATGAATGTTTCTTCGGGAATGCAGTATTAACTCCTGCTTATCTCTTATTAATCGTTTACCTTCAAGTGTTCTTCAGTTTTAGTCACATGTTAACGTTCTCTCTGGGATTTTTTCCATTCCTTTCATATTTTTCCTTCCTCCTAAAATTTGTGGATGTTTTTGTTTTGTGTATGACTCCAGATCATCTAAAGGAAAACTTGACCCTAAGGCCTTGCGGTGTATTTTTATTGATTATTCTGCTACCCAGAAAGGGTATAAGTGTTATCATCCACCATCATAGAAGGTGTATGTTAGTATGGATGTCACTTTTTGGGAATTTGATTCATTTTCCCTACTTCTCAACCATCTTTGTAGGGGGAGAGGACCATAACCGAGGAAGAGATGGTATGTCAAGACCCTTTTCTTTAATTACCTATTTCATGGTATATTAGTCAGGAGGAGAACTTATTAGTGATACTAGTGATTCTTCTGATGCTTGTTTTGATAAGGATAATGTGAAGACCTTCTCTCGGCATCAAAAGGTACATACTACCCATGTGCCACCGAGTCCGTTATATTCCTTAACTCTGGTTCAAGCATCAATCAACTTCAGATCATGAAACTTGTCATCGATAACCAGTTGATAATAACTCTGAGCTTCCTATTGCAGGTAGGAAGGGTGTTAGAACTTTCACTCAACATCCCATTTCTAATTTTGTTTCTTATAATTCTTTATTACCATCCTATTGTGCTTTTGTCTACTCTCTGTCCTCTGTATATATCCCTCAGAGTTGGAAAGAAGTTATAGTAGAGGAAATAAAAGACTTGAGAAAAAATGACACATGGGAGTTGATGTCCCTTCCTATTGGGGCAAGGGTAGTTGGATGTAAATGGGTGTCCATAGTCAAGCAATAAGCTGATGGGATAGTCGAGAGGTACAAAGCTCGACTGGTTGCTAGGCGGTTCACCAGACTTGCAACATTGATTATTAGGAGAATTTTGCTCCTATGACAAAGATGAATTCCATATGTGCTCTTCTTTCTTGTACAACTAACATGGATTAGAGTTTACAGCTGCTGGATGTGAAGAATGTTTTTTTGCATATAGATTTGGAGGAGGAGGAGGTGTATATGGAGATCCCTCCAAGTTTTTTTATCTCAAGTTAACGGAAGGGGTACAAACCAACGATGAGATTGATAAACCTTTTTTTATCTCAAGTTAACGGAAGTGTTCTTGATCTTCTTGGAGGAACAAGTATGTTGGGTTGTAAACCTTTTGATTCTCCTATTAAAGCAGATCATCGATTGAGTAATAATGGATAAAGAAAGGTATCAAAGATTATTGGGGAGATTGATATATCTCTCGCACACTTGACCTGATATTGCATATGTAGTGGGTGTTGTCAGTCAGTTAATTGATGATCCTTAAGGTTCTCAGCTTGAAACTGTTTATCGTGTATTGAGATATCACAAGTTTGCTCTAGGAAATGAGATCTTATTCTCAAATCGTGGCCATTTGAGGCTGAAAGTAGTTATTGATGCAGTGCAGGTTCGGTAGATTACAATTGGTCTGCTTCTGATTACTACAGCTTGATAGGAGGGAAACCTTGTTACTTGGCGAAGATAAAAACAAGTCGTGATAGCTAGATCAAGTGTTGAGATGGAGTATAGGGCAATGACTTATGGAATTTGTGAGCTTATGTGGCTCCAAATCTTACTTGGAGAGTTAGGAATTTCTGATGATGGACCTATGAGACTATTTTCAATATTACACATAATCCAGTTCAACATGATAATACCAAGCATGTTGAGATCGATACTTCATCAAAGAAAATTTGAATAAATGTTTGATTTTTTTGGAGTTCATATTTTACATATTAGACATAAGATAGTTTGTGTAGGGTAATATTGTAATTACTCTAATATTATACTCTTATAAATAAGAGTGTAGGGCAACCTAAACCTATTCACCAAATTATTCTTATTCTTTCTCTCTATTCTCTACTCTCTAATCCCTTCATTTTTTTTTCTCCATAAGCCCTAATATCAAATTAACTAATTTAACTTGGTATCAAAGCAATCATATGAGACTAAATAATTTTGAAAAACACTGTGGATGAATTTTTTGATCACAGACAGTTGCTGAGAGGGCTGATATCAGCAGATTTCGGTCATTGGAGCCACCACATGGACTGAAATTTCATGGTAA